ATTACAAATTAATCTCTCGATATAAATGAATTCCTTGAGAATTTGCATTTAAAAGAAACTAGAAGAAAGCGTGATGATGATTTCAATTCGTTGATTTCAATTTCAAACGTAGGAATGTTACGAGTACATCGATGCTCGATGTTGTGCTAGTATTACATAGATTACTATATTCGTAAATAAATTATTTAAATATATTGTTCGCGATATAAAAGAGAAATAGAGAGACAGAGAAATTAATTGCAGTTGAAATAAAACTTTCAATTACAAATTAATCTCTGGATATAAATGAATTCCTTGAGAATTTGCATTTGAAAGAAACTAGAAGAAAGCGTGATGATGATTTCAATTCGCATTACGTGATGATACCAAGGGTTAGTAAAAGAATTGTTTTGGTTTTCTGTACCTTCAGAAATATTGACATCACACGGGTTTTATCGATTCTCGACCACACACGACGAGAGTGAACTGTCTCACTGCTTGATTCCTCACTTTGCCACCCTTTGCTCGCCCGAAACTTTCCACCAGCCTTGGCAAAACGTGGCGAAACATACATTTACGTGTTACGTAGGCGAACTTTATTTAGATACGTGCTCACGTTCCCTGAGAAACTACTCGGTTCTCGATAACGAATTTTCCTAGGGATCCGGCAAATGCTTTCGCAAGTCTTCATTCTGTTTTCCAGTTTCTCAGTTCGCCCACGTCTCTCTCGTTTCCTCTCTTTCCGAAGTGTCGTCACCTTTCGGCTTTTTCGCGGTGCACTTTGACCCCAGTTACCTGTCGGTCTTGCAACAGTTATCCCTCGCCGAAGAACTTTCAACGAATGCTCGAAAGACGTACCACGTGACCGGGTTTCATTCAAATATTCAATCTTTCGTTCGTTTTCATTCACATTCATTCACATTCAAGCTCGGCAATTTTCCATTTCTCGAAATACAATTACCGAACGAAAGAATCGCAATTCTGACGAGATATATATATATTAAAAACACGCTAGTTTTGATAGCGAATTTTCCCACGATTTCCTTTGTGAAGTTGCAGTTTCGTGAGATAGATCTCACGTTAAATTTTTCGCAACTGATTGTCAAGTCAAGTGTCTCAGAGTTACTCGCTAGTTTCGATAAAAAAATTATCTTCAATCTTCACTTAATTCTTCCATCGTGCACTTCGAATTATCTACCAATTAAGATCACTCTGTTTTAATCCACAAGGTTAGTCGAAAACAGTCTTGCAAATGGAAATTTACGAATTCCTCCGCAGATCGATGAAAATTTTAGTATTAGACTTTGTATTAAACTTAAAAGTATTAGAAAAAAATTGATTGAAATATGATCCTTCTTTTTTTTTTTTTTGAGCAACTAAATTTTTTTTTTTT